GTTTTATAGAGAAAGATATACTGAATTTACTAATAACATATTCTGCAGAAAACTACTACACGTCTGTAATCTTTAACTAGATATTTGGGATATCATATAAAATCCAAACTGAACCAAACTAGTACCAAATGATAGCTATGTGGATTTAGTTTTCAAAACATAAAACTATTCTTAAAAAGAGGTTTTCTAGAGAAACATATGCTCAATTTACTAATAATATTTTCTACAGAAAACTACAGATATACTGATTTGAAATAATTGATATATTACGTGAAAGTTTATTTGAGTTTTCTTGTTAATTAATCATGATTAAACCCTAGGTTTGTGATACCTAAGTAAGATAAACATGTTTAAATAAATTTTACCTTTGTTCATGAGTAGTTTTTATCATGTGTTGATAATCACTTTGTTTACATATGAGATAATAGAAGAAATTGTTTAATTAGGATGTTAAACCCTAATTTGGAAGATATAATAATTTAATTTGATGATTCAGATAATTCCTATTTCATATACACGGTATAAAATTTTATTTTAACGTCATGATATGTACAATTGACATAATCACTGTATGTGCACGAAAAAATGTGTATATTGATAGAGTAGTCGACTACTAAGCTTAGTAGTCGGCTACTCGTGCCCAGTTGAGTATAACAGAAACTGTATGTTTATAGAGTAGTCAACTAATATTCTTAATAGTCAACTACTGATACTGATATATGTTATTATAGAGTCTGGATGGACTTAGTGTAGTCAACTACTAAGCCTAGTAGTCGACTACTAAGGCTATTGCCTGGATTTTTATTTTACATATGTTTGAGATATGTTTGTGGGTTTCAAGCCACACTTCTTTATACGTAAATTCACAAATAGTGTAGTAGCATACACATGAGTATGCTTAAAGGAATTATAATGGGTTTTGACCCAATTACTTTGAGAAATAGTTTAGTACATATTATAACACACCTTCTGGATATCGTTGATAAGCTCAGTTCAGTACTACGGGGAAGTGCGTTGATATTCTATTTGTTTAGACCATTGAGTTGGATTTAGGATGCTTTATCTAGCAGTCCATCCCGACTAGGGTGCGATGAGGCTTGTGAGCCGTATTTCTAGGAAGCCTACTTGGTAGTCCGTCCCGCACTCTTGTTACGTACAGAGATGCGATGAGACTAATGAGTCATGTACATTATTAGGATACCGACCGTGTAGTCCGACCCACATGATGATACAATGAATCAGAATCTTGCACGGAGTTGCATTGAGATAGTTAAATTATAGCCCGAGTCGTGGACGGATGCCAGTTATATTTTTGACTTACTATTGAAATATATGACCCAGAGTACTTTGCATTTGAAAGTACATTGGATTTATACCCGTATTCATTCTATCTTCCTAGTGACAGTGAAAGATGTTATGAATACGATATGTTGATGTCTTTACTTTCTTTTACTGTTTTTCTTTATTTTTTTAGTTGGGATCAATAATTAGTGATTTACAATTTGAGACATATGATATATACATGAGGGTTTCCTTGTTTGGATTATTTCGCTCGACGTACCAGTCTCATCTTGTGGATTTCTAATTGTTGATTTCATTTAGATTGTTTATCTTTAGTTTGGTATTAATGTTTAGATGTTTATAATTCGGGGCATATGGTATATACATAAGGGTTTCCTTGTTTGGATTATTTCACTCGACTTACTACATCTCGTATTGTAGGTGTCTAAAATAATAATTCCATTAGATACGTGAGAAAATGATCTAGGTAGACTATGCTTAATAGATAGAGCCTCCACTCCATCTAGCAGCCCTTTCTCTAGGGGCGGATGGAGGTGATCTTGCTATAGCGTTCTGACGCTCTTTTTGTTGCTCTTTTTTTTTTCTAATATTCTTTTAGGTAATTTAGAGTAGTGGAGAGTCGCAGGATGATGGAGCTCTTGCATAGTCGCCGTCACATGAGATTTATTACAGGCTCCACCATAGTTTTATATTTTTGTTCAGACCTTAGAGTTTATTTTATAGTGTAAATTATAGTGTGTCTTATAATGATTTTCAGATGTTTCTTGTCGAGACATATTTATTCATTTTGGATATCAGATGTATTCCAGGTTGTTCATTGAGATATGATTTATTTATAAGATACTTCTTTCTACATCATATCTAT